GATCCTACCCGTGAACTTTATCTCCTGAGGCTGAAACTCAATTGCAGATTCTCGTAAAATGAACCGAAGTCCGTTGGTAATGAATCCCTGTCCGTTGGTCGAACCGACTCCTCCACATCCCCGATCTCACCCCCGCATCCCCATATTGCCCCAGATTTCAGTTTATCAATACTTCAGCTAATGAAAACACCATCAAAGTGGCCCAATTATCGTTGCCCAAAGCTCAAACAACAGCAGTATACACGTGAATGCAGCCAGAGCTTCCGTGACTACTCTGCTGAGAGGCCAATCTTCGCCACGGCTATCGACGCGTTCGAGCATAGGTAAGCCTGTGACGAAGAATATCATGTATCCAAAAGTTCCTACTTTCATCATTCGATCTCTCTTCTCATAGAGGAACACGTCGGAAAGAAGAGGGCTCGCCATGAAGAATGTTTCTCCGAGCGCAACGACGTATGAAAGAGCCAGCACCGCAAGCACACGTCCAACTCGTCCAGGTTGTAATCGACAGATAATTTTGCGCTCTGCAACCAACAAGAAAGTGAAGCAACTCATAAAATATGCATGCGTAAGCGGATACAAGAACAAAGGAACCTCGCTGCCCGTTCGGCCAGCAACAGCAGAGCTGAAATTCACTCTGCTGTTGAACATGTATCGCATGCCCATAAGATCGAAGAAGTAGTGAGAGATGAAGTAAGTTCCCGTGAAGACTATGACCCATACCCATAGGTTGAGTTTCACCCAGTACCTGCGGTACCATGGACGACCACCAGGTTTTGATAGGAGTGCTGGGAGAAGTATGGAGGGCAAGGCAACGGTAATAGAGAAGAGCATATAATCAACGTCGTTCCAGGTATTGATGATACCACTCAGCATAACGAATGCCACAGCGATGACCCAGAAAGGGCTTTGAGCGAGGATCAAACCATCTGTCCATCTTTTGTCAGCTTCGAGATATTGAGCAGAGATTTGGTTCTTCTTAGATGATGTTGACATGGCTTGTGTACTGTTGTGACTGTCTCTGATTTCGCTTGCAGTGCACGGAAGTTATAAGAGCTGAGTTAAAGTTGAGAGAATGTCAGCATTGGATTTTGACCGCCAACTCTCGCTGACCGAATCCGAGGGATTGTTTTTGCCCGATACAACCTTGCAGTCAGAATGTCCAGGCTCATCTGCTACACACCACGCTAATAACATTATCAACTTACTCAACCAAATCTTAATCTTCAACTTTTGACACTCAAGCTCCATCAAATTATTGGAATTAATATTGAGGCATTTCGTTGAAGTTTTGTTTTGAAAGCCAACATCTTGCCTTGGTCTCACGCCCATGTAACGTTATGTGATGATACCCATTGTTTGGACCAGGATCCATCGTCTCATATGATGACAAATCCGTCCAACAACACCTCACCATCCAATATATCCCTTCTCAATAACATACTCATGAAATGAGGCTTTCAATTCTCTGACCTTACTATGACTCCTGCCAACAGAATACCCGCAACATACACCACGCGATGGAACACCCACTCAACCCCTATCAATAGCTTTGCGAGCAGGAGTCTTTCGACACAAACCAGAAAATACAATACATCTTGTGATAGATGTCGAAAGTCTCGTGTCAAATGCTCAGGAGGTATTCCTTGCCGACGATGTGCTTCGTCTTCTGAATCACCATGCATTTACAGCCTATCTCAACGACGTGGGAAGAAACGGGCATGTACAAGAGATATGTTACCAGCATCGAACGAGTTCCCTTCCTTGGAGATCACTCCTTCAGATCTTGGCATGGGAGCATTTAATTTGGAGATTGCATCAACAGTCGAGCCTCAGAACATAGACCCCAGTGTAGGTGTTCTATTAAGAAGACTTGAAACAGGCATACTGATATAGTTAGTTGTTCAATGGCTTGTTGGGGTTTGATCAACCCCTTCCAGACCAAGATGCAGGATTCATCTCGGGAGCTTCAGGCAGTGCAAATTCTCCATCCCTGACGGAAATAGTGGACGCTCTGGACTCACCACCCCCGTCCTTTTGTCTCAAGCCAATATCAAAGTGTCCCAAAGCGTGCTATGCAGACATACACGACATGAGTGGCATCGTGGATACTATAATGAAGAATCCCGGACAGACGCCACTCGACGAGATTCTATCATTATTCCAGAGCGTCTTCCACCAGTCTGCACAGTACCTTGCCTGCCAGAATTGCGACACCGGTTGTCTTCGCCACATTAATCTCGTCATGCTTCATCAACGACAGGTCAACCTTCTCAGTGAACTTGCAGAAGACCCGGGAGAATATCTCAGGGGCGGCATGGTGAATGCTACGTTGGGAGGGTTTCAGGCCTCTAAACAGGACGATATTGCGATAAAGCAGTTGATGGTTAGACACGCGACGAGAGATGTCATACTCTCAGTGAACGCTGGTCATGAGAGTGCCACGGGGTTTCAAAAGAGGTATACTGCGGGAACATTGGATTTGAGTGACACGGGAAAGCTTAATGTGAAGTGGTTGGTGGAGGTGTCGGAGAATCTTAGGAGGACGCTCGAATATGTAAGGGCTCTGCTAGAAAAGGATGATTGGGCCACAAAGATGCTGGGTTCATGAAACATAATGAAAGATAAGGAGGAGCTTGAGATGAATTCACGTCGTTTTTGCAATAGTTGGACCATATCAAGCGAGTTTAGTCAGGGGGTATCCTTCGAGCAATAACTCCTTATTCTATCTTCGGTGGGTACATTGAGTCAAACACACCACTTTTACAACAAGATAACAGAATGCTTCTAGTTTCCAGAGAACTACTAGTCAAACTGGACATCGTACTTCTTGCGCAGAGTCTCGCCATAGCGCCAGAACAGAAGAGGCGCGATAGACACTAAGATGGCAATGAATCCGAGAAGAGAGTTTCCCTAGAAGGACTTGTCAGTATCAAATGAAGTATAGGGATGTGAACTCACCCATCCGTAACCAAGAGCAGAGTAAAGTGGTAGTCCAGCTATAGGGAGGCATCCGCCAACTATACTACGTATGACACTTGTAGCAGCCAGAGCGCTAGCCGCATAGGTTGTGAAGGCATCGATCATGTATATCTGAGTGGGAAGCTGCTGCGCGTTAGTGAGAGAATTATAAGAAGGAATCGTTTATTACAAATGAGAATATCAGTCCGGCCCCTGAGAATCCCGTGAAGATAATAGGAACTATCCAGTGAACCTCATACTCTGCTGTCCAGCCGTACACGAACAGCCCAATGGGGAGAAGCGGAATTCCAAGAATAATAGGAAGTAACCGATATCTGAAATAGTTAGTGATCTTCTTTCTTTTTAATGACATACTTACTCAGGCTTAGACTCTCCATATTTCTTGGTAAGGCGGTCTTGAAGCCAGTCGCTCAGCCAGGAGAGAATCACCAATGCAACGATACAGCCGATTCCTACTCCAAGGAAAGCAAGTCCAAGGATATCAATGCCAAACCCGTACTGCTCTGTGAACACAGTGGAGAAAGTGGTAAAGAGAAGATAGAGGTAGCCATATATCAATGCGAGATACAGAGAGAGACCAGTGACGATAGGGCTGCGGATAAGCATTCTCATCGGTCTCATTAGCGCCCGTAGTAGCGCTTGGCTGACATTTGGTGCTTCTTTGTTAGAAATAGGGTAGCCTGTGTCCTTGAATAGTCTCTGCTGGATCTTGAGGTGATGGGACTCGGTGAGAAAGAAAAAGGTCACGATCGTCATGACTCCTTTCTAAACGCCGAAAGATCAGCACTGAGCGTTGGGTATGATGTTTTACTTACAAAGATGGCCATGATCCAGAACACCCACCTCCATCCGAGGTCCTTCGCAACGAAACCACCTATGACAGGCCTATTAGACTGGTTAGTAACCTCATGTTCTGTAGAGAAAGTAAACATACCCGATGACAGGGCCCAAGAAATAACCAGTGAAGAATATCGACATCACAAAGCCTCTTTTCGGAAGCTCGACCTGATCAGCAATGCTTCCACCCCCAATATTCATCGGCCCAGCACCAAAGCTCCCAGCAATAAACCTAAAGACAATAAACGTGGCGATGTTTGGTGCAAGGGCACTGCCGATCGAAAAACCAAGAGTGACAACATTGCAAATATTGAGCAGTAATCGCCGTCCGTAAAGCTCTGACAGCGGCGAAAGAAGCACGGGACCAAACGCGAAACCCAGAACAAATATCGACACGACGAGGGATGTCACGGGTGGTCGAGTTTCGTGGAAGTCTTCTTTCAGGAGAGGAACGCCTGGGACGATGACAGATGATTCCAAAGGACTAATATGGAACTGTGAGATATAGGAGATATGTGATATTGGAGGAGACTTACGTGATAAAACCCAGGATAGACACAATTCCCAAGTTCAGTGTTTTCTTCCGTAAGCTCCAATTCTGAGGATTTTCAGGATCTCGTTCCCAAGGGATTGAGATGCCTGGCTGTTGCTTCTCAGCGTCCGATTCAGTTGACATTTTCACATAAGGGTGAGAACCAGATAAAAGACGGCAATGTTGTTACAATAAATACATTGAACTAGTCATTTCTATATAAGAATCACAGCTGCCATATTCTCTTCCAGTTTCCAGACACATCGTAATGCTGCCAAGCAAATTGTGTTCGCTTTACGAAAATTACCCGATTAGGAAATCTGGCACCTCGCTCAGCGACAACTGGGTCAGGTTTTGCGCCTCATCGGAGTTTAGTAAGCTTGATCAGACCACAAAATGAGGTTTAGCCAGGCGGAAATGGATACACATGTCATTGTTGTCTTCAAGCTGGGGAATATCACGTTTCAACGTTGGCGGTCGGAGATTATGTAACACTCTCCGCGCCGCTCAGCGATGCTGAAGCCATAATGGTATAAGTTACGAACTAACACCGAAAGGGGCTATATAAGATCTCCAGCAGTGTACATGAATGAAATCAAATGTTCAAGTGACAGCAAAATATCATCTAGTCTTTCAAACATCAAATACAATGTCAGAATTCTATACTCAAGTTCAACTCAGCGACGGAGTCAAGCTCAACGTCTGCATCCTCGGAGCTGAGAACAAATCGAAACCCTTGATAATTTCCCTCCATGGAGCTCCAGGACTCTCGTCACACACTGGAATAAAGGAGGACTTCAAGTTTCTTGCAGACAGATTCCGCGTTCTCGTGTACGATCTTAGAGGCAGTGGAGACAGTGAGGTAAAGGGACCTTTCACCGATGAGCAATGGATCTCGGATCTCGAAGAGCTCAGGTAAGTGACCGGGGAGCAATTATCTTAGGAATCGAGGTTGACATCCTTTACAGAGCTTGGGTGGGAGACGAAAAGTTCATCCTTGCTGGGGGGTCCTACGGTGGCTTCCTTGCGCTGAACTACGCCCTCAACTACCCAAACCGTCTCCTGGCCTTGATACTTCGTAACACCTGGGCATGTGGTCCACAAGGCACACACCGCGCCCTAGCAAACATCCTGCTATCCGACCGGATTAATCCCGATCCGATGCGCCAAGTAAGGCTTTGGACCGGTAGCGTTCAAAGCAAAGACGATGTAGAACAAGGCATGGCCGAGATTGTCCCCATCTACACCCCGGAAGATAGCCCGCAGCCTGAATCATTTGAAGGTGCGAGTACGGAACTTCGCTGGGAGGTTCACAACGCTGCATTTTCTTGGTCACAGCCTCGTTTTGATGTGAAGTCCAGGCTGTCTGAGATCAACGTTCCGACCTTGGTAGTTATTGGAAGGCTTGACATAATTTGTCCCGTTGAAGAGTCTGAGATGCTCCAGAGGGGTATCAAGGGCAGTGACCTTGTTGTTTTTGAGAAGTCAGCTCACAATCCTGCTACTGATGAGTCGGAGAAGTTTCGGGAGGTTCTCTGGGATTTCCTTGGAAGGCTTGAGTGGTAACTGGGTTGATGAATCTGATACATTAACGTCTTGGAGTCAGCATCGGAAAGGCAACTTTTAAGGATTCATTCATTAGTTAGGTACCGATACCTCAACTTGCACCCTTCTATCGTTGTTTATGCTACAAATCTTATGCGTCACAATCACTCCGTTTGGAGTCACAGCTTCTAATCATGAGGTACTCTAATCGCTGGTATTTTGCGAACAATGACGTTTCATGATATCCTTATAGCTATCAATATCATTACATTAAACTAGCATCATTCAAATATTCCAAGCTGTTGCCCGCCACTCGCAACCTATAGATGGCCATCGTCCGTATCCAGGCCATCACCCCAGAAAGGCCGAAGGACTACCTTGCCATGTTTTAGAAAGTCTCCGCATTTCTCGTGGATCACCTTCAGGGCTGAATTGTGTATGGAGTCAGGCGATTGCTCCATCGTTTCCCGGTCGGAGTCCATGTAGACCAGAATATGCACTGTCTTGAGCACTTGGTCATTTGGATCTTTCCGATAGCTCGACTGAATGTAGGTGACGACGGCATCCAACAAATCCTCCAGTATATTCTCCGCGGCGTCGAATTGGACCTTTTCGAGGCGCGGCGGCAAGCCTCTCATTAATAACTGATCGTCTCGGATATTGTCATCAGGCACAGGCAGCCAGATGTCCTCAAGGGTCATGCGCATGTACTGAACGTTGAGAAGTCGTGTGCCTGCTGTGAAGTTGTATGCTGTGTGAATTGGCACTGCAAGAAGCCATTTCAAGGTATTCTTGCGGAGTACAAGAACTTCGCAAAGATCTTGGATGGAACAAAGGTTAGCTCCATAGCAATAGGCACCTATGTACAGAAATGACTCCAATGGTCCTGTTGCAGAAACCAGGAGTCCAAGTGCTTCTTTGCTCAATATCGTGCTTCGAAGGGCAATATGACGAATATTGCGGAATTGTAGTGGATCTCGCAGTGTCCGAAGACAAGGATTCACAGCTTCTAGGCTCTGGAGATTTGGAAGTGCTGCAATGAATCCGCCAATGGAGCCCTCAGACATATCGAGGGGGTTGCGAAACACAGTTTGCCTGGCAGTCTTATTTTTAATATCCAGACTCTTCAAGCGCTGAGGGAGGTAGTTTCCATGGTTTGAAAGGGGCTTTCTGAACTTGTCGAGTATCTTGAAGCAGTCTTCGGCTATTGTCTCGAGATACTGGAGGTTGGGTGTTTGAAGAAGGATAAGTGCTCCTATAAACGGCTCCCATCCTATGATATTGTAGTCTTCTCCTGGGAGGTTGAGCATATTAGAAAATTTATTCAAGGACTTGATCAGCCAGTCTTCCTCAGCGCGAGTGTCATCCGGATAGATATATCTCAGCATAATCTGTTTGGCTTGCTTGGCTAGTTCTGGGTTCTCAGAGAGAGTCCTACAGAACAGAACCTCAACTTTAGGCGTTACTTCAGAAAAGCCGAAATGGTGGTGGAGGGTTTTCTGCGCTATATATCCCCAGCTCTTACAGACCGTAGAGAGACTAACGAGGGTGTGTCGAAGGGCCTTCGCATCGGCATCTTGAGCAGTGGATACACTGGGGAAGTCCTGGTGATCTCCAAGTCCTTCGTGGCAATGAAGACAAAAGTCCTCACATATAATGTATATAAGGGCTGCATCAAGGCTTTGAAGATCCATGGTGTATCTTTGAGGAATCATAAGTTTTGAAATAAATAATCTGTAGACTTGGTACGTGTCCTGGAATTTGGACGCTTTATAATGAGACAGCTCAGGCAGCGTCACTGGTAAATGTACTCTTACTAGGTACATTCGATCACTATTAGTTGTTCAGTCTGTGATTCTGTTACAGTATCTGGGTGATTCAGTTGATGTGCAGTATTGAAATGGAGTATTATTCGCTGTCGGTCGCAACTGTTAGCATGGTCTTCCACTCCTTTTAGTAGTCATTCACTTGGTAGTAGATCGCTTGTTATTGAATTGGTTTCTTCATGAGCGTCAGTATGATTGTTCCTTCAGACATTGGTGATATGTTGAGAATAGAGAGCCTAACCCCCGATAGTCAATTCGCCATCCGAGATCCAAGGGGCAGCCAGCCGTCGGGATGCAATACAAGCGGCTAGAAGCCAATGCCATTTATCCTGAACAGTTCAATTAAATTCTTAACGTTTATTCGCATGTTTATTAAGTTAAATATTCTTAAAAGGCGTTAAAACTGCTCCTGAAAATGATGTCTCTCAGCGGAAGTGACCGTCACATGATGACCAAATTCTAGGTAGTACATGTTCTTGATTATCAAGCAATTCACCAAGTTCAGGGCTGGTACTATAAATTCTCAGCTATCAGTCATAGCTGACTCTCGTTATTTTCCAATTTTGGGATCAGTAACACACCAAGGCGGCGTTTCATATCTGATAGATCAGAAAATGGGTCAGATATCTTGGTAAGAGTCAACGTCACGAGAGACAATCCTTCCACGCCCGGTCTTCCAACACCTGAGAAACATGATTATCCTCCCGTGTCTTAGGAAAGATTGGCATTTCTGCTTGATTTTCTTCCAAGCCGATCTGTTTATAGCCAGAGGGAATTCTGAGGACTCAATGTCAACGCTCGTTAGAACCTCTATAACGACATATCGTAGCACCTGTTCCTGTGGCGGGTCTCGCGGTCTGGATAAGATATAGTTCGTCAAAGCATCCAGGATTCCCAGGATCGTAAATTCCGAGACATCGAGCCATAGTGTAGAGAGATTGGGTGGGAATATATCTAGTAAGGAGTGTTCTTCCAGAATTGGCTCTGCGTCCGTTGGACTCCAGAAACCTCCGAAAGGGAATCGAAAATTGTTGACATTGATGAGGCTCTTGGCTGTCGTGAAGTCCTGATATTTTTGTAAAGTCTGGAAATGCAACTTTGCCAAGCTATGCTTCTTAGATATCAGAAGATCGCATATCTCCTGGATGGTGACGCCCTTAAAAGTAGGGCGAGAGATGTCATAATAAGTAAATATCTCCAATGGCCCTGTAAATGAAAGCAGTAGTCGGAGTTCTTCTCGAAGAAAAGTAGCAGATAAGGTCAGAGTTCGTAAGCTAGAGAGACTCAGCCGGTTTCGAAGCGACTGTGGAATGGGATTATACAAGGTCATGTCGCGGACTCCGGGACTAGCCGATAGAAGTCCTCCCAAACAGGCCTCTGATAGATCTAGGGATCCTTTGTTGCTGCCTCTGTTGTCTAGCGGTGCGACATATATAGTGGCAATACTTCGAGGGACAACGCATTGCCTCCCTAAAAAGAGCGCACGGAACTTTCTCATGGTTCCATTCAAACGTTCGTTCTGTATCGAAAGCCGATCGAGAGTCGGTACTTGGAGCAAAATAAGGGGCGCAATGAATTCTCCTCGCATTGAGATGTCTGGTAGAGAGGACGCTTCCGGAAAGTCGAGAACCCCTGAGAACTTGTTCAGCGACCTCGCGAGCCATTCTTCACCAAGACTCCAGTCGTATGTAGAGATCTGTCTTATTATAGCCTCTTTCACATGCTTTCCAAGCTCTGGATTCTCAGAAAGGGTCCTGCAAAATAAGAACTCTGCTTTGGGATGAGTCTCGAAGTAGCCGAAATGATGATGCAGTACCTTCTGCGCGATACATCCCCATCTCTTGCAGACTAATGAGAGACTGAAGATCGTCTGGCGGTGCACTTTGGCCGCAGGAGGTAGTGGTATCTCAGCCGTACTGCCTACGGCCGGCCAATCCTCATAGAGGTTGTGGCAATGAGGGCATATGCTCTCACAGATGAGAAATATAATCTCCCGTTGGAGGTTCTGTATCAGCATGTTTCTCATGATTTGGTTCCAATATACGAAATGCGGAGTTTTGCGAGTTCAAAGAGTTTGAGTAAACGAGGCTGCAACTGGGAGAAAACGAGAGCCTTTTATTGTCCAAAGACAGGCTGAATGACTGAAAGATGCGAACAGTTTCTCGCGGAAATCTACTGTTTGTCACTCAATGCTATGCTCTTGTATCACTGTAATAGTGCACCGCCTGGTACCTGATCGGCATGTGCTGATTATCGTCATGAAGCACTGTTGGCGTGTGCCTCCGGTAGGAAATAGCAGTCAACTGTTCAGCAGCGGTTTGTCTAGGTTGTGACTGGCTATCTTTTGTAAGCATCGTCAAATAAATTTGGTATCCTAAAAGACGTACTCCCGCATGTATTAGTTAATAGAGTACCGTTCACTTGCTAAGGAATAACATTAAATACAGCTTGGATCTCACATAAGAAAATTGCAATAAGATAACTGAAGAATAGCATATTTCTATTTTATCTGGCTAGGCTGCTGAAACACCCCAATTTACTAGTCTAGATACACTGCATGTTCTCCATAGCCTCGCGGCTCAACATAATGCCCCAATAGTCCTTAAACCAATCAATCGTCATAGACGGAATTCACTTTAATATCCCCCCTCTTAAGGAAAAGAGCGCATTCACGTCTTATCTTCTCACAAGAAGGATTCTCCTCCTGTACCGGCGGGTTTCGTACCCCTTCAGGGGGAATGCCTAGATAAACGTGGATCTGGACACTTTTCAGTATCTGATCCTCGGGGTTGTCGGGACAGTTTGACAGAATGTATTTCGTGAGTGCGGCAGATAGCCCCTCCATGTCCTCACGATCAGCCTCGAATATTATGGTTGAAAGTGCAGGGGGGAATACGTCCACTAAAGCCTGGTCATGTAGCGTTGGCTCGCTTTCTGTTCTCTTCCAGATGGATTTTGTTGCGATGCGTAGCCAAGTAACGTTTTCAAGGATTCTTGCCGCTGTAAGATAACGTGCTTTGTAGTGCGTCAGTACTGCCGCTTCTGTCAAAGTGTCTTTCTTGGTCGTGAGGACTTCGCATATGTCTTGAGCTGTGGCTGGGTTTGGTTCCTGTGTGAAGCCTCCCATGTACTTGAAAACTTCAAGTGGCCCCGTGGCAGACACCAAAAGCTGTAGCTCTTCCCGACCCAGACATACGTCTATCAGATGAAGAGTACGAACACTGTCGAGCTGTAAAGGACTGTTTATCGTCTGGCGAGTTGGGTTACCAATTATCAGGATATCAAACCCTTGGATATTTGACAGTAATCCGCCACCAGCTGTATCGGAAAGGTCGACTGGGCCCCTCAAAGGGAAGACTTCCTGGCAGTGCGGCCCTTCAGACATGGTGACTTTGATGACATTCTGAGGAAAGGTATGCAGATGACTTTCGGATGGCTTCTTGATTTGCTGCATCAGATGGTCGAGATTTCGTGTGTCTATCTGGAGATCGTCGACGGTTGGTATCTGAAGCAATATGAGTGGTATAATAAACGATGACCATGCTCCTTTGCTGAAGTTGAAAGGCTTCGGGGGAAGGTTCAAAATATCCGAGAATTTGTCTAGTGACTTGAACAGCCAAGCGTCATCATCCTTGTCGAGATCCCAATCTAGTTGAGAAATCTGCCTAAGGTAGATCCGCTTAACAAAGCGGCCTAGCTCTGGCTTTTCGCAGATAGTCCTGCAAAATCTGACATCGCCTCTATCGCTTCTCTCAGGAAAGCCATAGCTGTGGTGGAGCACCCGCTGTGCTATGTAACCCCAGCTTTTGCAGAGCAAGCAAAGATCTAACTGGGTTTTCCGTATGCCCCTCTCTCCTGGTGAATCGATATGTAGGAACGAGGCAGGTGTTCTCGTGTCTATTTGACAGTGCAGACAAAGGCTTTCACAGATTATGTATATAAGCTCCTGAGGCAAGTTCTGGAGGTTCATGTTGACTGCACAATGATGGGATATAAAACAATTGCTGTCGAGATGTATTGTTTGGTTGACAAGATCGAGCTGGACGAACTTGCTTGGGAGATATTTGAGATCTTTTATAGTCCGTAGACGGGGTTATCCACTGTAGATGAGACTGGTTTACCACGGAAGTCTATGATGTTCTGAACAAGGCTTTATCCTACGCGACTGATGCTGTGCAGGCTTTAAGCACCTGTCACTCTTTTCCAAGAGGGCTGGTTATCACAGCCCTCCTCTGTCCAGCAGTTGGTCATCCATGATCGCATTCGCCACTCACGGAACTTAGGGGTTAGTGAATGTGAAGTCGAACTTTGACTGTCGGCTTGTGGCTCTCAAGGAAGGCGATACAATGTTAGAGTGTCACGTCACTGTCTCTCTTAATCGTAGAGAGATTTTGTTGGCTTGGGCAGCCGAACAGCGGCCTAATACTCCTGTAACCTGTCTACTTGTGTCTCCTGATCTTACAACACTGGGTTCTCTTGTAATGCAGCACTGCCGGTAGCTTGTGAGTTACTGTAACCCCGAATCTTGACACTTTGGATGTGGATCACAAGGCTGACGCCTGTGTAGATGCAGCTTGATGTGTATTTCTGTGTTTGATGCAGATCTGGGGGTCTTAGCTATATTTCAGAACATGTCAAGGCAGTGTCATGAATGCTTGACAAGCTGTCTTGCACATTAGTGTATTCAGCATCTTTCCTACCATTTACACCTTCAACCGCTTAAAACCGGTCTTATAATCAGTTTGTTTTGTGTTTGGTTATGCAGGTTTCTGAAAGAACTTGAATAAATACCGGTCATATCCATGCCAAAGCTATTGTACTGGATAGGTTTATTAGCAGAGTGAGTAAGATTAAAAATAGCATTTCCAAGCTATATTAGATCAAAGCGAACTCTCTAAATAACATAAGGCGGCAACATTGTGTTTTCACCGACCTCATCACAGCTATACCATAAGAACTGTGCTGTCGTGACGGTTATGCATCCATTCTTAAGCCACAATGGGCTACATTCGCTGCGGAGGCATTCCCCTTCACGTGCGTTCCTATCCCTTAACGGCTGCTGTAGAACAGGCGCTGTCCACGGTGCTGGATTTGGAATGGACTTATCCACAAAGTGAAGAGTCACCTCTTTTAACTTTTGCTCCTGAGGGGATTCTCTATAGGTAGACGATATGTAAGACGCCAAAGCCTCTCGATATCGAGGTGCGTCCGTGTGGCTATGATCAAGGCACAGCGTCTGTAGGTTCGGTGGGAACACATCGAGCAGGACATCCTTTGCAAGGTCCAGAGCATTAGTTCTCATGGTGGGGATATCGCATAATACTCCTGCGTTGACTCGCAACTGTTGCAGCTTGACTAGCTGGGCCAAGCCAGTAGGGGGCCGTTCTGAGCTGTACATCTTCATAACGACTCTCTTGAGTGTATTTTTCATGGGCGAAAGCATCTCAAAGATCTCCTGAGATGTAACCGTGAGTGTTGATCCATCCGTGTCTTCAATCTCCCTATAGACAAACTCTTCCAGGTTCCCTGTGCTGTTGATGAGTCTCTGCAGCTCATCCTTGGAAAGGCACGCATTACCAATCCGAAGCCTGCGTAGCTTCTGTAGTGGGAGCTTCTCTGGAAGATTTTCAAAGGTAGGTCGCGATATGGAAAGCGTCTGGAGGTTTTCCAGTATCATGAGAAATCCCCCTAAAGTATTTAGACCTGTTTCAACCCGTGGTTCATCATACCAGAGGCTGGATATTCGCTGTTGCCCTACCGAAAGAGACTCGAGTTTCGGAGTCAGAGCCTTATTCTTTATGACGGCTTCCATACTGAATTCTTGGAAAATGGACGAATCATACTGGTGGTGAATGACGAAAAGCTTGAGGTTGGTTGCCCGAAGCAGAATAATCGGTGCGATATATTCTCCCCATGTGGTAACAGAGCTCTGTAGGTTCAGCGGTTTCTGCCCAAGAAAGTGCCCATACCTAACCATGGATTTCTCATACCAAGAGGGGTAAAGCAAATTCTGGTCGCCGTGTACGTATTGCTTGAGCATAGCGCATTGTAACTGCTCGCCAAGTTTTGGATTCTCGCAAATGGTCCTGCAGAACTTGATCTGATCCTCATCATGTAAATGCTTAAAGCAGTGATGAAGGATATTCTGTGCAACACATCCCCAGCTCTTGCATGTGCTGCTAAGGCTGTAGAGAGCCTGTCTGTCCTTATCCTTCTTTTTATCTAAGATCTTCTCGTGGGAGGTGGAATGTTTCTCTTGGCAATGTAGACAGAAATGCTCGAAAATCTGATACAAAATCTCTGCCGGGAGTGGTGGGTTTTCCATAATGACGGGCTATGTAGGATATGTCTCGGCTTTGTTTCTTCTTTAACCTTGTCTGATATCTCAATAAAAGGATCAAGGATAAAACGTGTGGATGTCTCTGGTTGACGCCTCGGTGAGTTAGAAAGGATGTCGAAACTTTGGCTGGTCGTCTGATGAATGGTTCAATGCCTGCAAAGCTTTTGCTAAACGTGATGTTCCTGGTGGCCAGGTCTTTTGTTGCTTGCGACTGATGGATTGAGCTTTCCTACGTCCTCTTGTAAGACTATAGTTCAACAAGTGATACTGGCCCGTGGATATATGAATGGATGGTTGATATAAGTATGAAGAAGGATGAAGAAGGATGACCTTGGGAGGACTCGTGACGAGTATTTAAATGCTGGAGCGAAAACTTTGATACAAGATTAAGTGTTGTTGAGGTCAGGTCTGCATGTAATTTGGTGAAAGTCTACCTATGTGACAAACTGTATTCTTCGGTTCGTAACTGTATCACTTGATGTGATGTCCTGATTTACGGATTACTGTTTGACTTTGTAAAATATCTATCTCAAAACACTGATGTGGCGTGTGAGAACTTTGTTGCCCCAGAATACATTCAGCTTTAGAGATCTCAAAAGTTAAAACTGAGGCAACCTCGCTGCCTATTCCACCGAACATGTTTGTAGATAAGTGAAGAAATTAATTTGAGTATATAAATACTTGCTGTTGAGAGCCTGGCATATGCTCTTACAATCAACGGTGTTGAATATCTGAGAAACAGTAACAATTCTTATACGCCCATGTCAAGCAAACGCCCATCCAGCCAAAAACACATCTATCCAGCTCGTTTACAATCTGATCATCCTAGGGTATCACAACTTTTCACCTCCTGTCAAAAACATCCCGAACCTCAACAACGCCATCCATTCTTCCAAGAACCAGAACCTTAGTATCCTCATCGAAAGCCCCAGACATTACCATCTCCTCTGTAGCCTCATCGTACACGATAGTTCCCGTCGCAACATCCATGATGTCGAAGCCATCTTCAGTTCTGCAGAGCATGTATCGGCAATCGGGTGAGATTGCAAGGGGCCATCCCTCACAGGGTCGCACCGCGTTGAGGTTGTAAGACGTCAAGTCGTTGGCGGATGGGATCCAGATGTGGACGCTTGTTCCCCAGACTGAGACGATGCGTCGACCATCGGGACTGACTGCTAGAGCGCGGGGGTTGTTTGAGCCGTCGATCTCAAGACGGCGAACTGTCTTGCAAGTCTTGGTGTTGGTGATGCGCAGCGTTCCGTCGCGTGAGATCGTGACGAGGCTCTGGTCGGGGAGGAAAGCAGCGTGAGTAACTGCGTCGATGTGGCTCAGAACCTTTCCGACTCTGACACCGTGCTTCACATCCCAAACTCCAATGCGATTCCTCGCTTCACCGACTGCGATGAGTCTCCCATCACGGCTCCAAGCAATTGGCTCACCCTTAGCCTCCTTGAGCTCACAGGCCGTCTTTCCACTAACATAGTCCCTCAAAAAGACAGTGCTAGAGTGGTGAAAGTCGAAGCCTCCTGTAAACTGAACAGTCCAGTCCCTAATGGTAGCCAATTTCGAGCCATTGGGTGAGAAGACAGCTCGCGAGCCGCTTGTCTTGGAGTAGCCGCTCTGAGTCTTGATGTCAAAGACGTCGATCCAGGATTGAGAGGTTTGCGCAGCTGTGTAGATTGCAAAGACAGCTGATGTAGCAGGGGAGATGCCTACTGAGGCGATCTCTGCCTTGCTACAGGAGCGGCTGAAGCGACGTGTGATTTCCATGAGTGCTGTTGGGTCTCTTGAGCCTGGAGTCTGAGATCTTGGTGATGAAGTTGAAGGAGATGCAGATGATTGCCCCCTGTAGTGTCGTTAGTCGTGAGCTCAAAGCTGAAAGGGGCTGGACTTACATGATGATGATGATGGTGATGGATAGGTGAAGAAATGTGGAGAAGGTATTCAAAAGTTTTGTAAAATTTTGATATGATTGTATTGCTTGTAATATTGTTCTGTAGAGTGTAGTTTGAAGGTATCGCCAACTCCCAAAAATCCGGCGGTCACCTTGATCTTTAAACAAACCGCGAAGCCCACCACGATGACTCCTCCCTGCATCTAAGCACACCGAATCTTACAGATTGCTAATCACATTCCTCGATTTGGCGAGGCTCAAAAGTGACTGCTAGCAAAAGGCGTTAAGAAATTTCACATTGTTCTCAGCATGTAGTGAAAAAGGCTGAAGACATGCAGCGGTAGGGGTGAGTCACTAGTAGCACCCGCCGGTCTCCGCTGGAGATACACGGAGGAGAATTCGGCGTGGCAGAATTGGGGATAGCGTTGATGACATGGGTGCCGGCCTCGTTATTTTTGGACGTGAAGAGGGAATTGGAGGTCGTAAGAATGAGACTCTGCGGGTTCATGATAGCCCGCATCTTGGCATGGTATACAATGACTCTGAAGCTCAGTTACTCTTACTGACAGTTAATCACTCCAACCACCAGCTTACAGCTCGGCTTCATAGCTCTTGATCTTCGTTGTGATGTGAAAAGGTGAGATGGAGACCCCCACAACCCCATGAGTTGCTATGCGGGGAGTATAAGTGAAAGTGGTCTAGCCTTCTGGACCGAAAACTCCAAAACGAGACTACGTGATGGTCCATTAGAAAGCAGAAATGGAATCATTGATTATGAAATCATCGCTTTGTAAACACTCGCTATTCACCTCACGAACTCAAGCTACAATCGCGTCCGATCACGGAAAGACACAATTGATAGATTTCATCATGTTCAATTCATCATTTCATTCAGGCATGATCGCATAGATCATGCCAGACTTATTCGTCATTTCGACCCATCAAGGTGTCTTTGATGCGCGCCAACAAGAGCATTCAGCTCCACCATTAACTCATTCATAACTCCCAATGCTACTCCCAACAAACTCCTTCTTTTTATTTTTCACATTTCCGCACGCTTAAGCACCGAAGGCCTCCTCATAGTTGGTCATGCATGATCGGTAGCGAACAGAGCTCGTCTTCAGTGCCTCCATGGCCTGCTGAAGACCCTCCTTGGAGATAGGAATCTCCTCGATCCACGACTTGAGGCCCTTGTCAGCAGCGAGCTGCAACATCTCAAGCATCTCACGTCGGCTACCCAAGTGCGATGTTCCGATGTAGCAGCCGTTGGTGATGAAGTCCTGGTTGCGGATGGAGATACCGTCACCACCGGGAAGACCGACAGAGTTCCAGTGACCGTGCACATCGAGAAGGCTCAGGTACTCGCTGAGAGCAAAGCCCTCGAAAGAAGTGGCAGTGTTGATGATGATGTCGAAGGACATCTCGTGGCCCTTGGTCCAGTCCTTCTCACCAGTGGCCAGGAAGCCATCGGCACCCATCTTGCGAGCGTCGGCCTCCTTGGCTCGTGAACGGGAGATGGCCCAGACCTCAGCACCAAGAGCCTTGGCAAAGATGACACCGTAGTGGCCAAGGCCACCGATACCAACGATACCGACCTTCTTGCCGGGTCCGGCGCCGAGACGCTTCAGTGGGCTGTAGACGGTGATACCGGCGCAGAGCATGGGAGCAGCTTGGGTGCTGGAGAGGGCTTCGGGAATGGGGTAGACCCTATGAATTGTAAGTCAATGAGATCAATTGGGTAGGCGGACAAGTGTACTCACCAGTACTCATGCACTCTGCTGTGAGAAGAGTAACCACCCTGGGTCTTGAAACCAGTATCGAGGTAATCAGCGCCATAGGCGTCGATCTGGTGCTTACAGTAGGTCTCATTGTCATTCTTGCACTGGTGGCACTCAAGACACGACCAGACCTGGGCACCAGCACCGACACGGTCACCGACCTTTGCGAGAGTGACCTTATCACCAACACGGAGAACCTTGCCAACAACCTCGTGGCCTACAGCGAGAGGATAAGGGCAACCACCCCAGTCGCCGCTGATGGTGTGACGATCACTGGCGCAGACACCGCAGCACTCGACCTTGATGTCGACATCGTACTCGCCAAAGGGACGGGGCTCAAACGAGTTCTTCTGGAAGTCGGTCCAGTGCTCGGCGCTGGGGGACTGGAAGCCCTGGAACTTGTCGGGAACAGACATGATGATGGTGAAGTATGAGTATTGAGATGACGAGAAAGAGAGAGTAGAGCAATTGAGAACAAGTCAATTGGGGCTTCTCTTCCTTTATAAAGCTCATCTCATGACGACGAGCCGACCAGAAACCCCCACTCGTCGAAACAACCTCAGAGCTCACCCCTCATCGCGTTGACTACCGTATCCGTTACGTGTGAGGGGCACTTTTTTTCCTACTACGACCCCTCCATCATGAAAGATCATCTGATCCGAGTAAGCGACGCGGTTTGGGGGGAGGAATTGAAGTGTCGCATTGAGAGATTGGGGGTTTCGGGGCGCTATGCCCGAATTGCAGACAGGCGACATGCGATAGCCGATAGCCGATGTGAGCATGTCATTGGTTGAGAGGCCATCATGACTCTTGACATGAAGCTCGGATTATCGTGGGTCGGCGGAGTCTGAATTCCTCCACCAAGAATCGTGGGGGATGAGGTAGCGTGAGAGGAGCTGCATTGGCGATCTGTGAGGAGTTGGCTTGGGATGTGTTTTATAGTTCCATTTGTCCTGATGGGGGTATCCTTTCATACGGTCATCATATGTTCTAGACCTGCTATATCATGTCTTGTCAAAGCGTAGTCAAGTTATATCCAAGTCAGTCCTCCTCATGACCACAAATTCGGACACCTAAAACCGAGATATCGCAGACCTAAATACCGAACCTCGCTATAAACGTCCGAAAAGCTCACTGCTTCTTCCAATCCTTCTTCTTCAAAGCCCTCGACTCTCCCAGGCCAATTCCCAGCAGAAAGCTCACCCTCATAGTCATGCCAAGATACACAAACGGCACATTCCCCCAATCACTAGCATTCCACGCCATGACGTCCCAATAGATACTCGGCCCAAGCTCACTCATCGAGAACAAGTGTCCCAGATCCGCAATTAGTAGCACAAGCAGGACCGTCCTCCAAACCCGCAAATCCGCTGTAGATCGCAGAACGAGCGCTTCGTTGAGCGCAAAGAAGAAGAACATATTGGCGAGCTGCGACATGGCTACAGATGTAGCCTTTGGTGTTTCTGCTGGTGCTGAAGATGCGTGGAGGAGAGATAGGTAGGTGTCTTGGCGGAAGTGAGTGTAGAAAGCACCGGTGAGGGCAGAGATGGGTTCGAGAATAAGGAAGAAGATGCGGTAGACAGGATGGATGCGGAAAGCCACTTGGGAGGGCCTTGGAGTTGGAGTAGCCATGATGAAGGTGAGATGATGTGATGACACAAAGTGAATAGAGTCTTTGATGTGTTTGCTACGTGGTGATACTGAACAAGCACTCAAAAACTTCAGCATGGATCCTTGACACGGGAAAAACTTGATCCACTGTCTTCCCCACGACAGCCCTGCAGCATTAAGCTCCGGAGAGGCTGCATCCCGAGACAAAGTTGAAGATTGCTGGAATTGAGATGCAATATGGGGTATTTTAACTTGAGACCTACCAATCTACGAGTTATAGCACTTGTCTTGGAGATAACAATGGCCGTCCTTTAAGCATGGTGTTGCGTAGGGTAGCCATGACGTCCAGACTCAGGACACTTTGGCCGAACTGTCAAAGTCTAGACTTTCAGACTTCAGGCTTCAGGCTGAAGTTAATTCGAGCTTACAGAAATCCAGATCAACCCATATGGAGAATTTCCCAGCCGTGGCTGAATGGTTCCAAGGAACCGGTATCGGAATGTCCGGTTCGCCAATTGTAAGCCCAACCCAAGTTCTTCTCAACGATTTGTCGATCACTTCCTCCAATCCGTCAGATTTTTTCATTTTACGGGTTTCAGGGACCAATGCGCGCAAACCTTCTTGCAAACAGTTTCAGGCTGAGTACCGTCCACTCGTAAAGGGACAATACTGTTAATGCACTGCTGAATCAGGGTCTTCAGCCACTATGGATGAGATCAGTCAGAGTGTCCAGCTGAATCCGGGGTTGCTTTGGGGGATTAGCTTGTTTGGGGTGTTGATCCAGACCCTGGGAGGACCAGGACGCATTGAGTGTTGCACTGCGTGGGTTCTCGAAGTAACGCTGTTGTTGTGGTGAATCAATGTTACACAACCATTGGCCGTTGGAGGTCTGGTCAATAGGGATCAACGGGCCTTGATATGAAGGCCCAACATTGCTGCTACTATGCAATCACAGTTATTGCGGCATTGTTGCATTACTCAGTAACTACAGATTTCTTCGAAGAAGAATCAGCACCGGGAATAAGAATACGGAAAGTTTGCATCGCCACTATTGAGTTTCTTTCGCCCTGTTCGGTAGAGTTGGCTGAGGATGGCTTGATGGAGGGGCGGCTAGCCACAGGTGCTACTGCTACCGTGTTCAAGAGACCTCACCGCTACAGATTAAAAAGCAAAGAGTTTTTACCGTCACAATCTTTAGCTTCATAACCATCTTCTTCAACGACGTAGTATGAGTTTGTTCAGACCGGACCGAGGAAGAAGAGAATCGCGGGCCCCGAGAAAACTGGAACTGTACGATCCACCTCCGCTCGATAAATCAAGAATCGCTGTCCTTCCCGCATTCCAAGACTCCTTCTGGGGCAACGCTAGCTCACAAGTGCATGTCATCGTGTAGTGTAGATGGCGTTAAGCATGACTTGGGACCAGTCGCCTTACATCACCGCCAAGGGTCGTTCAGTATCGTGACCCGGCCTATGGATTACTAGCTT